TTTTCAAGGACTCGGAAACACAGAATTTAATTGAAAAGCAAGTGATGACCTTTTGGGTCATCACATCCTCACCACCAGGCCCTCGGCCTCTCTCAGTCATCAACCTCACAATCAGACCCTCGGTCCCTCTCAGTCATCAGCCTCACAAGCCACTCGGGCTATCGGTAACACAGGGTGCTCAGCCCAAAAATATCTTTTAGAGCATCAAAACTGAGTAAATAAGGCTGAGTTATGAAATCAGTAAAACGTAGCATGACTAAGTGTAGATATTAAACCAAAACAGTGAGGAAAACGGTAGTAAAAAGCCTCTAAGGGTCCAAACAGTTGGCACAAATGATTTTGTACGGTCCGACATACCTCGGACTTAATTTCCCTTTCTTCCCAAATCGCATGATGCCCTTCATGGGGGAAACCTTCAAAAATACCCAATCATCTTCTTTGAACTCGAAATCTCTGCGACGAATGTCCGAATAAGACTTTTGGCGACTCTAAGCAGTTTTCAACCTCTGCTTAATAATCTTGACTTTCTCTATGACCTGATGCACGAGGTCTGGCCCTATCAATTCTGCTTCTCCAACCTCGAACCACCCAATGGGAGACCTACATCTCCTACTATACAGTGCCTCGAATGGTGCCATCTGGATACTAGCATGGAAGTTGTTGCGTAAGCAAATTCTACGAGTGGCAAATGGTCAAAATATGGCATTCAGCCCAAAACATAGTAATATTTTCCAAAACACAATGATATCAAACATTTTTCAATCAAATACGCAACTTAACAGTCGCACGGGTCAGACCAAGTCACAATCCCCAACAGTGCACGACCTCACGCTCGTCATCTAGCGTGTGTGCCACCTCAAAGTAGCACAACGACGTGAAATCCGGGGTTTCATACCCTCAGGACAACCTTTACAATCATTACTTACCTCAATCCGGTCCAAACTCTAGCCCGCGATGCCTCAGCCTCTCGAATCGGCCTCAACTCGCCCCGAATCTATCCAAAATCAGAATCATAACATCAAAATAGGCTAAAGGAATAAAGCCCACGCGAAAATAACCAAATTTACTCTAAAATTCCGGAATTAGCCAAACCTGACCCCCGGGCCCACGTCTCGGAATTCGATAAAAATCACAACACTAGAATCCTTATCCTTCCACGAGTCTATATATACCAAGATCATCAAAATCGGACCTTAAATGGCCCCTCAAATCCCCAATTTAACTCTCCAATTTTAAGCCCTAATTTCCCAACTCTTTCTCTAATTTTCCCACTAATTTTCATGATTAAACAATGAAATAATCACCATAAACACAAGATACAAAGCCCAAGTAGCTTACCTCTCCGTCAACACTTGATTTCCTCTTGAAATCACAGCTCGGAGCTCCAAAATCGCACAAAATTGATGAAGAAATGACTGAAAATCGTGAAGGGCCCTTTTTATACATTCTGCCCAGCACTCTCGCACCTGCAGCCCCTATCACGCACATGCGCGCCACTTCTACGGTCAAAATGACCGCACCTGCAGTTTTAACTTAAGTCACAAGGACCGCATCAGCGCCCTGGCACTGCACCTGCGGTCCCGCAGATGCATCCAAATAACCACATTTGCGGTTCTTCTCCTGAAGGCCGAACTCGCATCTGTGATCTCCTCATCTCTTCTGCGGCCTCGCACCTGCGGTTCCCAATCCGCAGGTGCGGAAATGACAGGAACAACAAAATTTGCTGCATAACTCAAGTTCCAAACTTCCCGTCAATCACTCAAAACCATCCCGAGGCTCTCGGGACCTCAACCGAACATACCAACAAGTCACATATCATCATTCGAACTCAGACCAACCCTCGGAACACTCAAAACAACATTGAAACACCAAATCACCCTCGGATTCAAGCCTAAGGATTTCCAAACTTCCGAATTCCGCAATCGATCCAAAAACCTATCAAACCTCATCCGAATGACCTGAAATTTTGCACACACGTCACAAATGACACAACGGACCTACCACAATTTCCGGAATTCCATTCCGACCCCAATATCAAAATTTTCACTGCCAACCGGAAAACGCCGAATTTCCAATTTCTCCAATTCAAGTCTAAATCTACCACGGACCTCCAAATCACATTCCGGATGCGCTCCCAAGACCAAAATCACCTAACAGAGCTAACCAGAATATAAAAATCTAAATCCGATATCGAATACTAAAAAGTCAAGACTGGGTCAAACCTTTCAAATTTAAAGCTTCAAGCTGAGAATCATTCTTCCATATCCATTCTGATTAGCCTAAAAACCACAACCGACGGTTTACATAAGTCACAATACATAATACGAGGCTAGTCATGCTCGAGAACTCGCGAGCGAAGTGCAAATGCTAAAATCGACCGGTCGGGTCATTACAGTAAATTAGGAAATTGGGACCATAGGGGAATTTCAGTAGGAAACTCCTCATTAAAATCAAAATTTGGTGTCCAAGGTTTCAATATAATAGGTCTGTTATTAAATGTGTATGGGCCAGAGTAGAATATTTCTTTCATATCATCATTAGTATGAAATTTGATGATGTAGTACCCCTCCTCGTGTAGGTATAGTCTGGCTCTACCACATTTGCCCAGTTTATCCCAACAAACCTTTTCATAGCATTATAACCTGGTGTTTCCCCAATTATATATGCTATCACCGCACATTTCCATTTCTCTGTTTCCAGATCTACTTTCTTTTTATCTAATTGAACCACAACTTGGCCATCAATGATTTGTGGGGGTATGTAAGCTAGTGGAATACCATTTTCAGCCGATCGATTCTTCTGAAATAGATTTGTCCATGCTTTAGTCTGTTTATTAGCTGCTTCCTTAGGCTGATTGTTCTCCATCATCACAGCATCACTAGTTGCATGTGCCAGATTCACTGTTCCATTGGCTGAACTAGGTGGTTCCTTGCTTACATGTTGGATCTGCAATTCCTCAGTGTTGTTGACTGTCAGAGGAGTGCTCAGATCCAGCTTCTTCTTCACTCTCGTACCCATCGATGAAGATTCAGCTTAACAGCTTACTTCCTGCACTATCATTGGTGTATCTACTTGGTCCTTCGTGTTGTCTTCAGCTTGAATTCGAGCTCCCACAGAGTTACCATAGATAGCTATGGGATTCTTCCTGGGCCTTCCGCGACCTCGTCCTCGTCCTCGTCCATTTTCCCTGCCATTCGCCATGGAAACACAGTCAGAGCACATTAACTATCGTGCGCCGAGAGCATGAGCGAAGAGAGAGAAATATCCCCAGCTTCTTGTCAGGGTATTGCTTCACACCTTATCTTTGATTTGTTACTGCTCCTATTAGTTAATGAAGATTATGTTTCTCTTTTACCCGCCCCTTAAGAAACATTACTTAGGTGGGGGTTGGAGTATTTTACCCTTATTTATGTCTTAAAATATAGTCTCTCTTCATGGAACATTTATTTTAATTATGTGTTATCTCCATTGTCAAGAATAATTATTATTAAGGGTAAAATGGAAAAAATATAATTTATTTTATCTTGAACTTCTAAAATGAGAAATAATTTGACAATTATTCTTAGAAAGCACGACAAATAATTTGAGACGGAGGTATTATATTTTTATTGATTAGCGTGAGCCACACGTGCAACGCACGTACACAAATATATATATATATATATATATATATATATATATATTTCTATCTTGTAATAAATGCATTCATTGTATTTGATAGTTGATACTATTCATGCATGCTTAAATTTGGGAACACAATGTATTGAGTCACATATTTTAAAGGTAAATTGCGATAAATCTGACTAATACAAGCCGTTTCATTTCTTTCACAGTTATATGACAATTCATTGTTTTCCCCTTTCATATCAAGTTATGATCATTTCTTTAGTTATTTTCTTATTTTGTAATAATTCATTCCCTTTTTAGAGCATAGTTCATGCATTCCCTGTATTAGATAACTATTCATGCATGCTTGGGAAATGAGAACACAATATATTGAGTCAAGTAACTTTTTAGAGTAAATTTTGACAAATAATATTAATTATACAAGTTGTTTTAAATCTTTGAAAATATATGTCAATCTTTAAAAATATTATGTCAATCAGTAGCTTTCTTTTTGTTCAATTCATGATCATTTGTATTTATTTGCTTACTGTGCAACAATTTATTCCTTCTCTTATATCATTGATTTGGTTCCGACATTAGAAGAATTTTTTTATAAGAAAATTGTTATAAATGGGACTACGATCATTTTTTTTTCACGTTTGTCTGTTTTTCTTCTCTCTCACTGTCCTCTATCTCCAAAAACATAACCCTCTCATGGATTTCTTCTCTAGTTTAACAAAGTTATCAGGGGTTGTTTGATACGTGGACTATATTATCCTGGGATTATAGTCTTGAGATTATAATTCCTAGACTAATTTATCCCAATTGGGAGGTGGGATAAAATAATTCCAAGTTTAATAGGATAAGGTGGGATATTCAGGATTAAGACTGAGATAAAATTTATACTATATTTGGTTAATATATAATTTATTCTGAAATAAATTTATACCGTCAACCAAACAAAAGATTTCACGTCTTATCCAGCTTACCAAACGACTTAGAGTAATCCTTATAATGTTTGTCCAAAATACAGGTTGGTCCACGACCGTGCTTGTAGAGTTTACATGGTTTATCTTAATTGTCCGTGTTATCCTTTTTCATACAATAAAGTTATTGCAGATTTTCCTGAATACAATACAGTATGGAGTAGTAATTACTTGTGACTTTTTTGCAGCCCATTTTTTTTTTCTAAAAAAGAAGCAAAATCGCCCATTTTTAAATTCAAGTATGAAAAAATGGCATGGTATAACAACCTATTAAGAAAATTAGCATAAAAAAATCCTAGTTTTAGATATTGGCACCCTATAGCCCAACTTTAAGTTTTTATTTGTTTTAATTGGTATATCATACCCAATTTTATTGTTATTCAAAATCAGAAGTAACGTTCAGCACTTTCCCCTCTCTCCTCCCCACTCTCCTTCTTTTACGCTATTCTCTCTATCTTCCCCTTATTTCATATTTTTCAAATCCCCCAAATCTCTTCATTTTTATCCTATTAATGATCTCTTATTGTGTCTTCTTAATCTTTTTTTTAACTATTTTTCTAAATCAAGACTCTTTTGTAGAAATTCGAAGACAATATCATCATTCTTGCCAAGTTGAAAGATGGGTAAAAATTCAACTGGTAAGAAATAAAAATTTAAAGCACCTGTGGTCAAATCTTCATCTCTTCATGTTGATTATGACTCTCATTTCGAAGATATGGTGTTAAAGGGGTCGAAATCACCACATGCAATAGCCGTTCAAAAGGACAATCAAAGAAAAAACGGGTTGATGCATCGCATACAAAAGACAAAGGAAAAAAATCGAAAATGCGTATGGTATACAACAAAATATTACTGTTAAACCCAAAAAGAGAAAGCATATTAGCACAGAGGAAGTTCTATGTGATAAACATCCTATGAAGGTATTTTTAATCTCAATTGATTTAATGTATTTTATCCAATTTATCGTTTACATAGTGTTAGCTATAGTTCTTTTCTTTTTGGGTGCTGCTTGAAGAATTAGGCCGGGATCGTTTCTACTGGTAAAATAAAGTTAAAGCTAAAGTTGTGGTTTCGTGCAAAGCGTTTTTGAGCATTAGCATCCATGCTTAATGTATACTTAGATGTTATGTGAATATAGAAGTTAAAATAAAAGGTTGGGCACCATTTATTTTGCTACCAGTTCTTGTCAATTCCTTTTATTTTTCAGTAAGAATTGAAATATTGGATTTGCGCTTATTAGTGCTTGAGTGAATGTTACGCCTTTCGCATAGTTAGCTTCATATCGTATTTACATAATGACTTTTTGTGTTTTAGCTTCATATCGTTGTCTAGGAATTGGCAAATGATCAGTTTATAATGCAACCTTGTTTAGAGTGAATTTTGAAACTGAACTTTCCTCTTTTCCTTTCATGTTTAATACAGAACATTTGTGTATTGATAGAACCCCCATACTTGACTATATATTTTTCTTAAACCTTTTTTATTTAGTATTAGTATCTTTTCTTTTATATTTGAATTCTTTTAACATGCATCAGCTGTAAGATTTATGAAAATGTATAGAACTATTCTTATGAAGATGTGTAGTTGTGGAGAATTTAATGATATTCACTGTCTACGTATATGGCTTAGTATAATTAATATATTTTTTAATGTAGAAATGGGATTTATGTGTCCCATTTGATACAAAATTATCTCGTTCTCGTTGGAGCTTACATACCAATGTTGGGGTTGTTGATGAGTTAAAGTCGAAATTGATGGATGAGCAGATTCAAATGTTTAGGAAAACCTGTTTCAGCTATTTCCTAGATTTGCCTCCTGTTGTTGTACAAAATCAAGTCATACGGTTCTTAATGTCAAGGGAGTTGGTTCAAGACAGTGAGGAAGATTTTTACGTCAAGATCAATCATAGTATCCTGTGTTTTGGGATTAGAGAATTTGCAATTATATTTGGTCTAAGGTGTGTTGGTGAAGTCAACGATGAGGGAACTTATAGTGGATCAAATAGGCTCAAGGATGCCTACTTTCCCGATCGTGATAGACTATCAAAGGACGACCTTATTGATTATTTTATGGCAAAGAGATGGCAGTCAGATAATGATGCTCTAAAGATTTCATTAGTGAACTTCATATACACCTTCTTATTTTCCACAATTAGTAAAAGATCCTTTGTAAGTAATCGAGATTTTTTTTTGATTGAGAGTGGGAAATACGAGCAGTTTCCATGGGGGAATGTTGTATTTCAAGCTTTGATTGGTTCGGTGAGAAATAAGTTTAGATTCATAAAAGAAGTTTCATAGATTTGGCGGTTTACTACTTGTATTGCATATTTGAATTTATTAGTGTTGTTCTGAATTAGACCCCAATATTGACACTCGTGTTGCAAGCCGAGTGCCACGGATACTAAATTGGAATGTAACAGAAAGGCCTATCTTTGAGAAATTATGCAACGGCAAGTTGGGAGAATCAAGGAACAAGGTAACATTGTTAAATTTATATTTGCACTTTAAAGTATTCTATTATGTTAAAGTAATTGTTATATTTATACTAAAACACAATGATACACATTTCTATGCATAATAATATTCAATTTATGATGCTTCATATACAGTTTTTATGCAGAATTTATGTACTTAGAATCATAAATTGTTGACTTTTTGTTTATTGTAGATGGTGTTTAGAAATATTTCTGCAACGGTGAATTCCATCAGAGAGCGCGACATGATGCTAAAATTCGCGAGGCCGTTGAACCATATGCAGTGTTGATTGCTCGTGTCTTCGCTAGTACATGCTTTTACAGGAAGAGACATGATATTGATTTGACCAATGAACTTTATAGAGACAGACCACTTGCTGATCCGTTATCTATTCACATGGTTGATGATTTGCCACAATAAGAACACGCGTATGTTAAGTTTCAATCTATTTTATTACTTAAAATAATAGTATACTAGTATTAGCACCCGCGCAGATGCGCAATAACCATGTCAAACATTTGAGTTATATGGATTATATGTAAATAATCTTAAAATTTAAACCTTCTCGATAAATATAGATATTTAATAATGGATATTAATTAAGAAACACTACATGAAAAAGATTAATAATTTCTCAAATCTCTTAGTTATAATTAAATTTTTCTTTTTTGGTATCATTCTCGCGGTGTCATTGGATCCTAAAAATAGCCAGAAAGCAAAATAATAACTCATATTTGTAGCAAAACAATCAAAGATTGAGACTATGAAGGACTCTTTGGACATGACTTGACTCAATTAAATACTACTTGAACTCTTATTTGGTGTGTTGATATCTATTAAAAAATATTTCTATTTAAAATTTCAGTTTCTAATAACTTTTTTTATTATATGTGAGTGAAAATATTATCCTTAATTCAAAACTCATTTTAGTCGACTATATAAAAATAAAATAAAAAAATAAAAATTTTAAAAATTTAGCCAGTGAATTTTTTTTCCAGTATGACTGCATTTTCATATTTGACATTAACCATGTTAAACATATGAGTTATTTAAATTATATGTAAATAACCTTAAAATTTAAACCTTCTAGATAATTATAGATAGTCGTTAGATATTAATTAAGAAACACTACGTGAAAAAAGACTAACATTTTCTTAAATCTTGTAGTGATAATTTTATTTTTGCACCATTCTCATTGGTATCATTAGAACCTAAAAATAGCCACAAAGCGAAATAATAACTCATATTTATGGCAAAGCAAAAAGGTTGACACAATATGAACGATTCTTTGGTTACGACGTGACTCTTTTACTACGACTTGAACTCTTATTTGATATGTTGTTATCTTTCAAAAAATATTTCTATTTTGAAATTCCAAATTTTAAAACTTTATACATATTTCAATAATTATCATCTTTATAATGATGCTAGTGAAGATATTATCCTTAATTTAAAATCCACTTTAATCGGCTATCTAAAAATTTAAATGATTCTTTAGCCGAATTTTTTTTTCCAGTATGATTCCATTTTGAGTTTATCGATATCTTCAGCCACATATTTTGAATTTGAATACCCTATTTATAAAGATTTTTTGTTCTTTGAATCCTTAAATATTAAATTAGTTGATTGTTATTATATAACATTGCATATATTATCTTAAAATTGGCAAGCAGTTTTTTCTAGACACCGTACTTGGCTTAACCTCAATGCAACTATTCAAATTGCATTTAAATTCAAATTCAAATATCATATCAGTTTGTTAGTAATAGTATTTTCTTGAAACGACACACAATGTAAATTGAAAAAAATATTCTAAGATATCCTTATCTTTGTCACGACCCAAAATCCCTCCGAAGGAGTCGTGATGGCACCTAGTTTCTAAACTAGGTAAGCCTAACATTAACATAAATAACTCTGACATTCACTATCGTTAAATTAAATGATCTCTGAACAATTAAGATTCCCAAAACCGATAGTACAAGTCATAAGCCTTTCTAAGAGTAGTTATACAAAATAAGTACGATACTGTTCCAGAACAAGAAGGAACCAATGAAACAAATACAAACGAAGGTGACTCCGAGGCCTACGAACGCAGCAACAAGTTTACCTTGAGTCTCCATCTCGACAATCCGTACAGCTACTACTGCTCAAATATCTGGATCTGTACAAAAAAAATACAGAAGTATAGAATGAGCACACCACGGCGGTGCCCAGTAAGTATCAAGACTAACCTTGATGGGGTAGTAACGAGGAACAGTCCAGACACCTACTGGTCAAATGAATTGAACAGGATATGATAATGAACTACCAAGATAAAATTAACATAGTAATATAATTAGCAGGGAGAAGATCCAACTACAAATAGTAGAGATAATAAAGGAGACACAGATAGTAATGAACGATAATCAAGTAAATTAACACCAACATAACTAGGACACAGATAAATAATGATATGTTCAAACAAGGAAGGCGATGCCAACTCAACCAATCATATCATTTCTAATACACAATTTCGACCATCTCAATCCTCGGTATCTCATGTCATAATATCAAGTTCCACACCTTTTGTACACATAGGTTCTGATCAATCTGAATTACTCTTATGTCTTATAGTTTGAATTACTAGATTTTTGATTCCCAATCTGAATCTCGGTATCTATTGAAAGAATCAAATCAATGAAGGAAAAGCGATAGATATAGGCAGATTCAAAAAATCAGGTAGTAATCTTTTTTTTAAACATTCCCAAGAAGTAATTGAGTAAACCATTGACAGTAGTTCCACGGGTATCGAAAAGGAAGAGTAAACCTCACCGATTTTTAACGCCTGAACCATGAGATGAAATAAGTCGATATAGCATAAATCCAATTTCAAAAATTCGAAAGCGGTAAATGCGCAATATGTGACTCACCTGAAGATCTTATTCTGCATAGTATCTCGTTAGACAACCACTATGTTTATATCCTTTCTTTCTCATACAAAGTGCGTATACACTTAACAAAACCACCTCTTCTTTGAACAGTAAAGAGAGAAACAAATAAAAGCCGTCTGATGGAAAACTACTTTCACGTTCGGTTCAGAGAGCACTTTTTTCATTGAGAATTCCTCGTTCCCTTTCGTGATGGCCCAAGAACACGCTCATTCTTCAGCCGTAGAGAGACTTTTGAATTGCGAGGTACCATTACGAGCTCAACATATACGAGTGTTATTCCGTGAAATAACTCGAATTTCAAATCATCTTTCGGTTCTCGGTTTCATCCGACGAACAACTTTAGGTCTTTATTCTGTGTCCTATCCTTCCTTGTGGATTCCCGGTTTCTGAAGGAGTAGCGGCCTGTGTCTCCGGCTCTGGGAGAACTTTACCTATAGCTAACCTAGAGAGCTTTACTTTAAGATAGCTCGGGCAGGCACGCCCACATATCTCTATCTCGCTTTACGCAACATTATCCATGCCACTCAGCACATACGGTCCATAACCAATATAATAAAGATGTTCAAGGGTTCTCATTTATATAACATAAAGTAGATTACAACTTATAAACCAATTAGGAAATCAACAAGAAAAGATGAAGTTATTTTTTTTTGAAATCGTTTGAATAAAAAAATACCCTTTTTAAATAAAATACAACATCGAATGAACTATTACATTTTACATAGGACTTTAATAAAATAAAAGCTTAGTAGAAATTCTTTTTTAAGTAAGATTCAACATCATCGGGTTAAGGAAAATTAATTGAGAAACTTGAAATAGACCATAACATTTATAGGAATTTGAATTATTGAAAGGTGTGTGTGTATATATATATATATACACACACACGCACGGTCGGTTCAAATTTAAAAAGTTATTTATAGTAACGTAGTGCCAAATACTTTATTTTAAATTACGATATTACTAATAACTTAATAGGACCGGAGGAAATGACCCGACGTAGTAAATTTACTTTAGAAACTAATTCACCAGAATAATAGTTTCAGGGAAAGAATTCAAGGAACGATGGCAAGTCAACAACTCAATGCTAATAATCCGACCCTCAAAACTTAGTGAAACCCGAAATACAAATCGTAAAAGTTTTAAACAAATGGACCAGGGTCTTCTCAGTATTCAGCTATAACCAAATCCTTAAAGAAATATAAAACCACTGCATAACATGTATAGTTAAGAGGAATACATAAGCACATATATTATTGATGCGGCGCGCATCCCGATCCCACCAATCCTCCCTTATTCCTCCATATCAATTACCATAAAAGTAAATTATATATATATTTATTGCGGCGTGCAACCCGATCCCACCGATCCTGCCTTATTCCTCCTTAACATTTACAATAAGAGTAATGTCACGACCCAAAATCCACTAAGAGTCGTGATGGCGCCGGACACCATTGTCAGGCAAGCCAACACCAAATAACTAGTAATTTCTCGTTTTAGTTATTTCTGAAATCACTTCTTCTTTTTTTCAGTTAGCCAATAAATAATAAATCCCACTAAATAAGTAAAGATACCTTTAACAATTTTAAAATACTGAATAATCCCATAGACATCCCAGAACCCGGTGTCACAAGTGCATGAGCAATTTCTAGGAAACAATATAGTACAATAATCGTCCGGAATACAAATAGGACAGTAGAGAAAATACAATACAGTGAAAGAGACTATGCCGGCTGCGGGTCGCCTCGAGAGATGCAGCTCGCCTAAGTCTCGGTATCATCCATGCTGCTACGCCCAGCCGCTAGAGGTACAAGTGAATGTGCAACAAAAATGCACAGAAAGTGTAGCATGAGTACAAAAACAACGTGTACTCAGTAAGTATCCCGTCTAATCT